CACACCCACACCCACCCACACCCACACCCACACCCACACCCACACACACCCACACCCACACACACCCACACCCTTCTTCTGCAATAAATTTACATTATCTATATGAAATTTCTATATCATAGAAAGTACTAATAATAAACAATAAAACAAATTATATTAAAACAAAGAAAAAAAAGATGTTTTTACATTCTTGATAAAGTAATGGTAATTGTTTGAAAAAAAAAAGATCATTAAATACTTGTTCAACTATAATTCATAGATTGAAGTGAAATATTTAAAAAAAAACTATTTCATTAAATCTAATGAAAAACTTTAATGATATACATTAGGAAAGATTTTTTTTCATCCATTGTTAAATACTACAATGCTCATAACTAAAAACAATAAGAGAACAGAAGAAACTCAATTAGAATAATAAGATTTTTTTCTTCATATATTTACTGAATAGGTCAAAGATCTTCTGTACTTTATCGTTGATGATTAAGCATTTGTTTTATATTAGGCCATTCATTATCTTAAAATATTCTCTTAATTACAATTTTTTTTTCTTCTTTATTCTAATCTATACTTGATGGATAACCAAGTACTTGAACAATTGTTTCAATTACATCACGATTAAATGATAATGATGGTTTTATAATCATTTTGTTTACAATGAAATAATGATTTAAGTGTTAATAATTCATATAAAATACATCCAACAGGCTAAAAATCTATTTCAATAAAAACAAAAAAAAGAAAATAATTCTTTTGTCTATATTGATGATGATTATTAACTTATTACTTTTTTTGTATGATAATGATGACTATTAAGATGAAGTTCAGGTGATTGATATCTTAGTATAACAATAACTTAAATCAATATTACTTCAAAGTACAAATAATGAATTAAATAATTGTGTAAAATCCATATCAGCTATTTTAATTTGACCACCTTGAACATCAATCATCAACACCTTCTAATAGAATATGAATATGAGTTGGTTCATCTTTATAGATCAAATGATAATTCAAATAAAATTTTTTTTCTTTTTTTTTCTTTTCATAAAGTTTAATTAATTATTTTTGATGAGAAAGTGTTGTTGTTGAAGATATTGATGATGAATCGGGTACTTGAAGAAGGATAATACCCGTAATCCATGATGTAAACTTTTCAGCAAAACCAAAACTTCTTATACATAATTGCCACGATTGTAAATTGCATATTGGAGCGTTAATATTATCTTGAACTTCTCGAGTATTCTTACATACATAGCCTTCTATGCCATCATATTCTTTAACTAATGGTAATGGATACCTGTAATGATGACATAAACGTACGAAATTAGCCCATTCAAACATAACATCTTCTGCAATATCATCAGTAATAATTGGCGGCCTAAAATAACAGAATAATTAATAGTTTTCTCATACAAAAAAAGACAAATCGTTTAATATCTGATCTAATTAGAGTATTTTTGCTTACAAATTAACAGATAGGTTTCGAGAATCATTGAAAATTTCTCGATACATATTTCAGAAGCTTGTCATATATCTATAAATCATTAATTTTCGAAAAACTGATCGAGAAAATCTAGAAAAGTATTCTCAGAAATCTAAGTACTATTTTTCTGAATATAGCACTTTCTTAAGAGATGATTATTATATGTAAAGTCTACTTCGAAATCTTTTTTTTTTAGTCATCTTTTCAACCTTTAGAAACATTACGAGCATATCAGAAAAAGCCTATTTTGATCTTCGAAAGTATTTCGAAAATTCACAAAAAATCCAAAGAAAAGAAACTTTTCATCGGCAATCCATTTAAGATAACGATAGAGTTTATGCCTCTGACAAATCTTAGAAGTTCAAGATTCAAAGTATTTGACAAATTTCAGGATTCTAACAGATATAATGACTAAGATTTCAACTCATTAATGAGTGTGAAACTCAAAGACTTCAACTAATTGAAAGACTCGAACACGATTAAAGACAAACATTTTGACTGAACTATAGACTTTGAACTTTGAAGATCTTAATAGATGTGACAACTGAGTAGAATTAGATACTCGAAAATTCATATAGAATTTAACGCTTAGAATTTAAACTCTTCGATTGATCTGAACAGTTCGCTATGTCGAGACTTTGACAAACTTTAACATTAAGACTTCATTTAAATTCGAAATTTGAGGATACAAATCTTATTACTAACTTTAAAATTCTAACATCATTAAAACTAAAACATCAACTATTGTCGGCGCCAGAATTAAGTAGGGGTGGATGTTGAATGAATATCTCGAGAACGGCAATAGCTAGCGACCTATGGTTTTCACCAATTGAAAGGAAAGAAGTCGAGACGTCTTTTTCTCCGATAATGTATAAGACGAAATCCTTTGAAAACTAATCATCTACCAAAAACATGCAAAAGAATGTATGAAAATGACCTGACATCTAGATGAAATTTTGATTTTGACCTTTAATTTAGATAGAGGAACTTGAGATCTATAATTCAAGATAACAATGCGCTTTCTTAGTTTTCATTACATTTTCATCGAAATATTACGCTATTATGATAAAAAGTACGAAAACTTAGTTAAAAATCAGCAAAATTCCCTATTATTGGCGCATGTGAATACACGATTCTATTTGCTCAACGTTAGAATGTAATAAGAGAACCATTTGCATTGTATCTTGAACTATAGATCTAAAGCTCCTCTATCTAAATCAAAGATCAAAATCAAAATTTCATCTAGATGTCAGGTCATTTTCATACATCCTTTTGCATGTTTTTGGTAGATGATTAGTTTTCAAAGGATTTCGTCTTATACATTATCGGAGAAAAAGACGTCTCGACTTCTTTCCTTTCAATTGGTGAAAACCGCAGGTCGCTAGCTATTACTGTTCTCGAGATATTCGTTCTACGCTCACCCCTTCTTAATTCTGGCGCCAACAATAGTTTAAGACAACTTTGACTGATTTACAGACTATTAAACTTAAAAACTAAGATTTTGACTGAAATTTAAGACTTGATGATAAAAGTAGTTTTTAGTACGTCTCGAAACTTTAGGAAATTATAAAGAATTTAATGAATTAAAAATTGTATGAAAATATTTGATAGACATTTTCAATTTTTTCGTGATAAATTACTATGAAAAAATCTTGAAACTTGTCTTAGAGAACTCTGGATCTGTTAGTCTATGAAACTTCATAGATTTTTCAAGAATATAAATCTTATAAAGAGTTTGTACGATTGACACTTTAGATAGATTTCAATCTACAATTAATCTTAGATATCATTCAAAGTAACATTTTTATTTTCAACTACGAATTTTCTTTTTGGTTGATGATAAATGAAACAAAAAAATTTTCATATCAAGTAACAAAGAATTTCAATCATGACAAGCTCAAAATAATATATCAAAGTCATCATTATATGACATTTTTTTTCTTTAGTTTTACTTTTCTTAACTATGCTTTAATAATTAATAATAATTTTTGATATTTTATGGGGAAAAAAGCAATCAACGATTTAAATCAGTATAAATATTATAGAGTGATGATCAGATGTTTACAATACTAATTCTTTAACTAATATGATCAATAATAATTTAATTTATATGATATTTAATTAGTATTTTCAATAAAATACATTTTATTATTACAAAGTTGCAAGTTGTTTTTATACGATTATTTCGTATAGATAATGAAATTTGAAATAAACTAATCTCTTACTATGCTAATATATTAACAAATATACTTACCGATTAAGATTTAGATGAATATTGTTGTTGTTTTGAAGTTTTAGTATTGAAAAACGATCAAAATCATTTTTTGGACATTGAAAAACTACGCACGCTGAACGATTTGCCTCTTCAATAGATTTTCTAGATAATGTTCTTCGTTCTGCAGTCCAAAGTGCATCACGCACATTTCTTGTAACATAAAAACCTGGTCCAAAGTCTGTTCCTTTAGGATGGTTCCAAAACAAACCGATTCCATTGAGACATATAGAATGTGCTGCATATTCTGGACATCCGTGAAAAAATGTGTAATATTCTTTGTTCTTCTTGTTATTTTCGTTCCATAAGGAGTGTAGATGTTTATTTTTACTTGCTTCAGTTGGATCTTTATTTAATAAAAGAATTTTTAATAAACGAAATTGACCACCATAAGTAGGATAATTTTGTTGTATCCATTCATCTTTTTTTGTTTCAAATGGATGATAAGGAAATGTAACAAACATATTATCTCGAATTGAATCATAAATAAGTTGTCGATAACCATAACCATGAGCATTAAGTTCTGTATTAAAAATAATATTTTTTATTTTTTCTTCATAATAAGGCATGAGAACTTGACAAATATGATTATCATCTTCAATTGAATCGAGATAAAAAAATAAAATATCTTGGATACTACAATGATCTTGTTCATTAATTTGAAATTTTTCAATATTATTTCTGCACCATATATCAAATAACTTTTGATCAAATCCAAATGGTTTAACATCAACTAAAATAATAAAAATTTGATACAACATGAAGAATAGAGTTGTCAAATAAAAATTTCAAAAACCAAAAGAAAAGTCTAAAAGATCGATGATCTTCTGACTACATCGAATAATTTGGAGCTCTACTCTTCTTCTACTTTTGTCGTTTATAAACTTATCAGATAATTAAAAATAAAAAGTTTTCTATTACAAAAATCTTATATGAAGAACCTAGCTGAAATCGTTTTCTTTTAGAAAATATGAACATATTTTATCAATGAAATGTATTATGTGTACTTGATTATAAAGTCAAAAGTAATAAGAAAAGCTGTTCGAATATAGAGCTGTGAAAAAATGTTGTATTTTTATGAGTTGAATTAAGCAAGATACAATTAATCTATTTGTTCTACAGGATAATTTAACTTTTGTCTAATCTGAAGAACGAAATAGAAAATAATTTTAATAATAAATTATTATTATTTTTATTCAGAATGATACAAGATAAACAAATGTGTAGGATGTAGAGAAATACCATATGAATGCTTTTCTTATGAAAAAATGATCAGAAATAGAATAAATCTATTTTCTATTTGATCAATAAAAATATCTTCTCAAATAAATTAAAATATCAATGTAATTTATCATTTTATATTTCTTACTTAAATCATATGTAGACATTGTTGGTGAAGAATCAATTATTATATGTTCAGATATAATTGATTGTCGTTTTGTAGTATTTGGAGATTCGAGAAGAGCAGGACGAGACAATGGTATTAATTCATTATGATCAAAATCATTCTTAAAAAAAAAACAAAAGTATATAAGTCAAAGATATATGATTGTTTTCCACTATGAATAATATCATTATTAAAAATTTAGTATTCTTATAAATATTATGATTTTATTTGATTCAATATTTTGTCTCATATTTCGATTGTTTTTCATATTTTTTCTATATTTATTTCAAATGAATAACTAAATATTAGCAATATTAAAAAACTCTATTCATCATAATTTTAATATATTGATTGATGAACATATAAACTATATGGGTAAAATCATTCGTTAGCGACGTGACATCGTAAACTTGGAGTATGCATATCTCGGCACTATCAACTAGTTTAGGTGTGATTTTTGAATGGTGTACGAGTCTCTATTTACTCTAGATACTATGAAAAAAACAACACTCTAGAGCTTTGCTCAGAGGAGTTATTAACGAAAAACTAGCGTTAGCGACGTAACACCAAAAAGGACATCAAAAGTCACTTGATATACTTTGGTTTTTAAAAATTTCTAAGTGTTGCACAATTGTCAAAAACTTAATACGCGATACTAGACACCACTCATAAGGCCACCAAATCCCAGTGTAAAATTATTTTGAGAATGTTTAGGTTTTTAAAAAAATAAAATCTATTTGGCGTTAGCGACGTGACAACTTTGTTAGCGACGTGACTGAGTACGACTACACTACTGATCGAATGCTCTGGTAACGAACTGAAAAGTTCGAAATCGATTCCAAGGGGCTCATATTAATGGTAGGAGGTCCTAGAATAATACTAAGACAAACATTTCCATTTCCGCTCTGTCTAAGGGCTCTGAAAGGTCGATTTTTTGGAAGGAACTTTTTGAAGTCCGATCTCGATGAAAATTTTACCATATATGCGGCTCATACCCTAGAGCCAATCCTGAAGTTTTCAAGTTTTTTCCTCATTCGGTTCTCGAGATATTCGCTAATTACTTCTTAATTAGTTAATTATTAATTAATTAATTAATTAATTAATAATCATATGAAAGAGCAGACAATTTTACATAAGTCTATGCAAAAACAATTCACTCAAAACATCTATACTGATAGAGAATTGCATTCAAATGCAATGGGGGAATGTCCCGTTTTCGCTGATTTTACCCATATACAGTAAAACCTCCTTTAGATGGGCACCTACGGGACTTTTTCAAATCACCCACATTACGGAGGTGCCCGCGTTATAGAGTGTTTTTTACAAATACCGATCATAAATATGTTTTTCGCAAGCCACGTCATAAACAGCACCCACACTTATATATTACTAATCGATCTTTAGACCTCTGACTATGTCCAGTAATTTACTGCGATCATCTTATGTCTTTTCTTGATCTAGGCTTATTTTCTATTTTCTATTTTCGTATTTACAATCAAGCTTTTCGAAAAAAATCCATAATTGAACTTTTATCATTGATGACACAATAAGAAATGTATAGATGAGCTATTTTCTTTGTTACGTCGGACTAACCTTTCTCTCTCTTATTCTCAGCTCAACAAAGAGTGACGAGAAGAAAAAGAACAGTGTATTGATTAAAATATTCACTATATTTGCCCATATTAGAGAGGTTCAAATATATAGTATGGCCTAAAAAAAACAGTGCCCACTCTAGAGATGGGAGGTGCCCTTGTTAGAGAGGCTCACTTCCAGCAAAAATCGATCGGTCGTTCCGCCGAGTGCCCATATAAGCTAGGTGCCCTTGTTATAGAGGTGCCCATATATAGAGACTTTACTGTATATCAGTTCATTCATATCACTCATTTATGGATTGACCCGATACGACATTATGCAAAAAATGAGAAAATAGCAAAAATGGCCTATTTTCGAGTATTATTTTTGTCACCGCAGTATAATGATTAGCCATCGATTTTATTCATATTAAATACATATATCTGATGACTATTTGAGGATATAAGAATCATAGGTCCAAAGTGCTTCTATTGGAAAATAAGGTAATACAGACGAATACCCTATAGGCACCTAGAATGAAAAAGTCACATATTGTGTTCAACACTCCTCATGTATGCAGAATTTGGTGATATATCTGAGAATAGTTTGATGAAGTACTAGCCTTAATCTATTACCCAATATCATTAGTTTGTCCCGCTACTTTGAATTTCTTAAAATAGGATAGGGTGAAAAGGACTATTTTTCGTATAGGGTATTCTTTGGGGACCCATACATGTATAGAAAAACTACTATCGATTTTGATGAAATTTTCAGCGTTTGTACATCTTCCAATTCTGAGTAGTATTGTAAAAAAAATTTTCTCAAAAAGCTTCTATTTTGATAGAGATATACTCAAAATACTTTAAGCAGTAAAATCCAACCACCGTCAAAAATTGTTTTTTTTTGTACACTTTTAGTAAATTGTATCTCCTAGTTTACTTCACTAAAACAAGGTTAAAAATGAAAACAAAAACCATATTCGGGTTCCTCATCAGAAGACGCATCGAGTCATATCAAATCTGTCTTCACTTTAAAAAACATTAGGTTTCGTGGGTGTTCTGACTATTGATCGATCACCCAATAACAGAGAACCGTCTTGGATCCGTGGCTATTCGAGAAATCCGAACTGCTTGATATGATGCCATAGTGTATTAGGTATAACATCAGTTGCTCTACAAACTCTGCAAGTTTCACTCAAATTGCGCCTTGCTATTTGGAACAACAATAAATTGTCGATCTCACACAATTTAGGATATATACATGACAATAGAATAGCAACCAAAGTTGATTGAGTACTTTAGCTGATTGGAAACCGTTAAGAAGTCTGTGCTATCAAGGTTGTAGAGCAAGTGACACTCTATCAAATGCGCTATGACAGCCTACCAAGTAATTTGGCTTTTGCAAATAAACAAGAGCTCAAGACGGTGCTCTGTTACGGGCTAGTGGAATTAATAGTCAGAACATCCACGAGAGCCAATCTTTGTTACACTAAAGTCATATTTGATATGGTTCGATGCGTCTTCTGATGAGGGATCCGAATATTGTCTTGGATTTAATTTTTGATCTTGTTTTAGTGAAGTAAACTAGGAGATACAATTTACTAAAAGTGTACAAAAAAAAAACAATTTTTGACGGTGGTTGGATTTTACTGCTTAAAGTATTTTGAGTATACCTCTATCAAAATAGAAGCTTTTTGAGAAAATTTTTTTACAACAATATTCAGAATTGGAAGCTGTATAAATGCTGAAAATTTCATCAAAATCGATAGTAGTTTTTCTATACATGTCTGGGTCCCCAAAGAATATCCTATATGAAAAATAGCTTTTCTCAACCTATCCTATTTTAAGAAATTCAAAGTAGCGGGACAGCCTAATGATATTGGGTAATAGATTAAGGCTAGTACTTCATCAAACTATTATCCAATATGCTCCCAAATTCTGCATACATGAGAAATGTTGAACACAATATGTGACTTTTTCACTATATAGGACTATAGAGCACTCGTCTGTATAATCTTATCGACCAATAGAAACACTTTGAATATATGGTTCTTATATGCTTAGATAGGCAATAGATATATGTATTCAGCGTGGCTAAAATCGGTGATCAATCATTGTGTTATGATGTGAAACAGTGCCTTCGAAAATAGGCTATTTTTTGCTGTTTGCTCAATTTTACGATAATGTCGCATCGGATCAATCCATATATGAGGGATATGAATGATCTGATATAGTGATGTACAGAAACTACTGACTTAGTACTACATCCCTATATAAAAAATTCCAATCCCAATTTGTAGTTATAGAAAAAAATCAATACCATAAAATGATAAAAATTCATGAAAATGGTCATCATAGACCAAAAGGTCGGATTTTGTGGTCCCAAAAGCTATGATGTCGAGTGAAAGTCCGTAGGATTTTTTATCAATAGTCTTAGGGTATCGAGGTCTTCAATAGCTGAAAGTTTCAGCTAAGCTGCTTACACTTTTGTATAACATGGGAGATTTCCGGTGGAACTACCCATATATAAAAGAGAAGAAAATTTCTTCAAAAACTTGAAACAAATACTCAACATTTTTTTGTTATATTCTCATACGCTTTTTGTAGTCGGCAAAATTTTTCACATTTTCATGCGTACTAAGGAAAACCTCCAGCAGATTTTGCATCTCTGATGTAAATTTTACTCACTATGTCTCAGAGCTGGGCATCTCCAGGGTAACAACTCAGAATAGCGTTATGTTCAATCCTTTTTCCTAGTGCTACTAACGTTACCAACACTCGCTGCTATGGAAACTGGTCAGATCTAGTGTAGACCTAACCAGTTTGCATAGCAGCTAGTACCAGTCATGCTACTATCAATAGAAAAAATAACTGACAATAACACTATTCTGAGTTGTTGCCATGGTGATGCCCAGCTCTGCTATATCTTATTCTATTCTCACTCTTTTAGTCTTATCATATATGTAATATATTAATTTTAAATAAAAAGTTGTATATTTCAATAAATAATTCTTATAACAATTCTAACTTAAATGTTTTCAATAAATGTTTTTATTAATTATAATAATATTCAAACACATCTCTAGCTATTCATATAATCAGATGGCTATGTGGTATCAAAATGAGATGAACCTATGTAACTTTTGTGGAACACGATCTGACAGGAGTGTTGAAGTGTATAGGGTAGAAATTTTGGACCCACTACCCTCCGCCCCCTCCCCCCACAGACCGTGACAGAGAACCTCCGAAGGGTATGGGTGTGAATGTGTGGGTGGTGTGGGTGTGGGTGGGTGGGTG